AGAAAGATGGTAACAATGACCCTATATGCAAGATAGCAAAAGAGACACAGATATAAAGAACAGACTTTTGGACTCTGTGAGAGAAGGTGAGGATGGGATGATTCAAGAGAATAGCATTTAAACATGTGTATTTTACCATATATGAAATAGATGACCAGTCCAAGTTTGATGCATGAAGCAGGGCACTCAAAGCTGGTACACTGGGACAACCCAGAGAGATGGGATGGGGCGAGAAGTGGGCGGGGGTTTCAGGACGGGGGGACACATGTACACTCATGGCTGACTCAAGTCAATGTATGGCAAAAACCACCACAATACTGTAAAGTAGTTAGCCTCCAATTAAAATAAATTAACTTTAAAAACTGAGTTGTAAAGAAGTGGAGACAATTTGAAACATCAATAATGCATTTGGCTCAGGAACTGCTAATGAACATACGGCGCAGTTCAGGTTTTGCAAGGGAGACGAGAGCCTGCAGTTCAGTGGTGGTTCAGGTTTTGCAAAGGAAATGAGAGCCTTGAAGATGAGGAGTGTAGTGATAAACAGGTGACACCGACCAATTGAAAGCCATCATCGAAGCTGATCCTCTCACAACTACATGAGAAGTTGCCAAAGAATTCAATATCGACCACTCTACAGTTTGGCATTTGAAGCAAAATGGAAAGATGATAAAGCTCTATAAGTGGGTGCTTCATGAACTGACTGCAAATAAAAAAAAAATCATTGTTTTGAAAAATCATCTTCTCTTATTCTATGCAACAGTGAGCCATTTCTCGTTCAGACTGTGACCAGCAACAACAAGTGGATTTTATAAAACAACCCAGGCTTCCCAAGGGCACGAGTGGTAAAGAACATGCCTGCGGATGCAGGAGACATAAGAGATGCAGGTTCTATCCCTGGATCAGGAAGATCCCCTGGAGAACGACATGGCAATCCACTCCCAGGCAAATTTCCCATTTGTGTGGGAAATGGGAAATTTCTCTAGCCTGGGAAATCCCATGGAGTGAAGAGCCTGGTGGGCCATGGTCCATAGGGTCGCAAAGAGTCAGACAGAACTGAAGCAACTTAGCAGCAGCAGCATATGACAACCAGTGATGACCAACTCAGTGGTTGGACCGAAAAGAAGCTCCAAAGCACTTCCCAAAGCCAGACTTGCACCAAAAAAAAAAGTCATGGCCACTGTTTGGTGGTCTGCTGTCCATCTGATCCGCTACAGCTTTCTGAATCCTAGGAAACCATTACAGATGAGAAGTATGCTCAGCAAATCGATGAGATGCACTGAAAACTGCATCACCTGAAGCTGGCACTGGTCAACAGAAAGGGCCCAGTTATTCTCCATGACAACGCCCAAATGCATATCGCACAACCAGTGCTTCAGAAGTTGAACGAATCGGGCTATGAAGTTTTGCCTCATCCACCATATTCAGCTGACCTCTTGCCAATGACTACCACTTCTTCAAGCATCTCAACAACTTTTTGCAGGGAAAATACTTCCATAACCAGAAGGAAGCAGAAAATGCTTTCCAAGGGTTTCCAAGGGTCAAATCCTGAAGCATGGATTTTTACACCACAGGGATAAACAAACTTACATTTCATTGGCAAAAATGTGTTGATTGTAATGGTTCCTGTCTTGATTAATAAAGGTGTATTTGAGCCCAGTTATGGTTTAAAATTCACAGTCTGAAACCATAATTACATTTGCACCTACCTAATTAAAAATTCCAGAACACTTTATGTGGCAGAAGTTGTTGGATTCTGTATCAGAAATTCACCCTCAGGAAGAAAGTGAGTGTGTGTGTGTGTGTGTGTGTGTGTCTGTGTAAGTCACTCAGTCATGTCCAACTCCTTGCGACCCCATGGACTGTAGCCCACCAGGTTCCTCTGTCCATGAGATTCACCAGGAAAGAATACTAGAGTGGATAGCCATTCCCTACTCCAGGGGATCTCCTGACCCAGGGATCAAACTGGGGTCTCCTGCATTGCAGGCAGATTCTTTACCATCTGATCCACCAGGGAAGCCCAGGAAAAAAGCATAATGGGGGGCTAGTTGTCTGTAGCTGGGAGCTGGGTCTGAGTTTATTTTGTAGTATTTCTGTCCCTGGAGGTGCAGCCAGTCAGGCCTGTGAGGGAACTGGCAAAGAATGGTGGAGTCAGAGGAGAAGGAGGGAAGAGGAGGCGTTTGCCGTCGTGGTCAGCCCCAGGCGTTGTGACAGGTCCGTGCTGGTGGCTCCTGGGCCAGCACACTCACTCTGAGGCTAGGACACTGTGAGGAGGAGATGCTTCGAGACTATGGGTGGTCAAGCCAGCCAGACTCCCAAGTTTGCCTGCCTCCTGGACTCTGAGTGATGCAGAATGGGTGTGTCAGTTATCTGCTGCTGCATAACAAATACCCACCCCCCGAAATCAGGGGCTTAAATAGCACACGTGCATTAGTTAGCCCGTGGTTCCATGGGGCAGGAGCCCAGGAAGTGCCTGAGCATCTGCAGTCAAGGTGTCACACAGGGCATCAGGGATCCACTTTCGAGGTGACTCTGTGGTTGCCAGCAGTCCGCAGGGCCTCACTGGCTGTTCTCAGAAGGCCTCAGCTCCTCTTCACATCTCTGGGGAGGGCAGCTGGCTTCCCACAGAGTAGGGGATCAGAGGGGGGCAGAGAGAGACAGACAGACGAAGACATAAGCCCCAGTCCTCTTGTAACCTAGCGATGCCACACCACACCTGCCTGTTCTATTTGTTAAGGATGAGGGAGAGGGTGAATAGAGCCCACACTCAGGGCAGGAGGATAAAGCTCCCCCTCTTGAGGGGCAGAGAGTCCAGGAATTTGTGGGCATACTTTTTTAAAAAATTAATTTATTCGGCTGCGTCAGGTCTTATTTGCAGTGTGCGAATTCTTAGTTGCGGCTTGTGGGATCTAGTTCCCTGACCGGGGATGGAACCCGGGCTCCCTGCATTGGGAGCATGGAGTCCTAGCCACTGGACCGCTGGGGAAGTCCCCTGTGCACATAACCTTAAAGCCACCACGACAGATGACCCTGCCTGCTGGGGTGTGTTGCTCCAAGACTGTGGTGATTGCTGCGAAAGCAGAGGATGACCAGTCTCCTGCCTCTACCGCTTACCTGCTGAGCATCCTGTCTTCTTTGTCAAAAAAAGCAGTGACTAAAAGCAAAACCCAGGAACCATCCCCAATCTTAGCAGGATGTGGGATGGTTAACTCAGCTGGGGTTCAGTTTCACAGTAGAATAACCTCTGTGTGTGTTAGTTGCGTGGTCGTGTCCTACACTTTATGACCCCATGGACTGTAGCCCACCAGACTCCTCTGACCATGGCATTCTCCAGGCAAGAATATTGGAGTGGGTTGCCATTTCCTACTCCAGGGGATCTTCCCAACCTAGCGATTGAACCTGAGTCTCCTGCATTGCTGGCGGATTTTTACCACGGAACCACTGGGGAAGCCAACCTCTATCCTCACCTTTAAAATGAATGAGAGCTGCTTGAATCAATAGAGATGAACCTAAAATGTTATATCAGCTGGAGGGGAAAAGAACCGCTAAAGGATTTGAATGGTATGACCATCTTTATGGAAATTCTGTGCGACACACATGACGATGGCATATAGTGGGAGGGACACAGAGTGACTTGGCAAGAAGTTGCCTCTGAGCCAGGTGAGAGGGGAAGGACAGGGTGGAGGTTCTACTCTAAACTGATCTCCTTAAAAAACACTGCAGAGCAAATATGGGAAAGATGAACATTTGTTCAGTCTGGGTGGTGGTACATGGGTGTCTGGTACAGGCTGAACCAGGCACAATTTAGTCTTGAGTGTGTTTTGACAGCGAAGCTGCTGTGAGGATGCTGTGGGGAGAGGTGGGTTGAATGCACCCCCTGCCCCAGACTCTAAGGTGCTGGAGACTCGTGGAGTCATCTCGCTCCGTGGGCCTGGATTGCATCACGCATGTCACTGAGTCGCGATACGGGAGGCAGGCATGTCAGTGCATAGCAGAGTCTGACTCCGACTTGGATGTTGGACTGCTGGCAGCTATGAAGCCTCCACACCAACGCCCCACATCCGGGCAGGCTGATGGAAAGTGGGTGCTCCCTCCTTCGTGGCTGCTGGCAGCTCCATTCTGAGAGCAGACACCTCACCCCCAATCATAGCAAGTCCCAGGCCAGTCTCCCTTCCCTGCCATTTAAGACCCATGTGGGAGGCCACCCTGCTCCCTGCAGAGAGCCTCATCATGGGTGTATGTGCTGCTCACCTCTCCCAACCTGATACCCCCGCTTGGGGGGGTCCAGCCCTGTGCCTCCAGCCCAGTCACAGCACTCTGACACCTGGGAGCTCTCACCTCCTGACTCAGGAAGGCCGGGCCAGGCGAGTCCCTAGTCCGTCACACATGGGCATCTTGTCTCCTAGGATCAGACAGAGGTCGGCATCTCCTGCTGTCTGGCTTCCGTCTCCCCTCCTGCCTTACGGCTCTTCCCTGGGACGACCCTCGGAGTCTTGGTGGGAGACAAGAGGAGGGCAGCTTCCACTGGCGCGAGACGGACAGCAGCCTATGGGGTCTCTGTCTGCCTCGTTGGCCAACAGTGCTCCCGGGAACTTCCTCCAGGAAGTGACCCTAAAATGCTGGAAAGAGAAGATGGAGGGCCCTGGCCCTCTAATGCCCCCTAGGGGACTGAAAGTGGAGCTCAGCTGTCAGGGGACAGAGGGGCCCCGAGCACCCTTGACATCTGATTCCCTGAAATATGGTCAGTGTTGGTGGCAATGTGTGTGAAGAGTGATGGTGCATCCTGAGAACAGGCTGATTATAAAACAGCCTTGAAGGTTTGCCACGAACTTAGCACTGAACCACATGAAATTGCCCTTTTGCAGGGCAAAAAAGGCCCCAACTCAGCAATTTCTTGTGGTTCATACAGAAAACAGAAACACCGTATGTATTTTGTGCCTTCCCCCCTACTTTTACCCAGGGTGGAGTTGCTTGTTTGTTTGATTCCTGATTTCAAGAAATGCTCAGGCTTTGTAGCCCCTTGGGCTGGAGTGGAAGCCCAGCGTGCACACTGCATCTGACAGGTGGGGAGAGAACGAGGCGGCTGCACGGACGCTCCCGTCCAGACGGGGTCTCCCTTGGCCCGCCGTCCGCTCCGGGCCTGCTCGCAGCGCCGCCGCAGGGGCCAAAGCCGCAGGCCCGAGGCTGCAGGAAAGGCCCTCTGGGCGGTGCAGGGCTGGACCCCAGTCGCCTGGCCTTGGTACAGAGAGCTGGGCTTTCTTGGCCTCTCTGGATAAAGTGAATTTGCTGGAATTGGCCGCATAAACAGCTCCACTGGACTGGCGGCTAACAGCAGATTCAGGCTCCACGGTGAGATGCAGGCAGCACGCCAGGATGGCCTTCTAGCCCCGCCACTGACACTGCCTGGGGCTGTGGTCCGCCGGCCCCACCGAGAACCTGGCTTCCTACAAGAGGGCTGGCGGAGAACCTGTGTGCACCTGACGACCCCTGCCATGGGGGTGGTCCTGGACCCGGGTGTCAGCACTGCCTGCTTTAGAAATGCAGCGTCTCAGGGCCCGCCCAGTCCTGCCAACCCAGAACTAGAGCCAGGAGGCTCTGTGACGGGAGGCTGAGCTGTAGCAGGGAGTACCATCCAGCAGCAACTGGTTTGCAGAACGCGTGTGTCCTTTGACGTGGCCAGTCTGCATTTTGGAATTTATCCCAAGGAAGCGATCAGAGAGGCACACAGGGAAAAGTCTGACCCAGCAACGCAGTGCTTACTCCAGACACGGCGGAAGCCTCATTCATTTCATGTCATTGGGCGTAACCCTGGGATGGGGCTGGCTGGCCAAGAGCGGGCTGAGGCTCACAAAAGTTAAGGACCCCCAGGCCGCCTGCCAGGGCACGGTAGGGTGAGGAGTTGATCTCCAGCTGCCCACCAGCAGTCCCCTGCCTCTTGGGTGAGCGTGGCCATGGTGGTGCTGTTTACAAGAAGTGGGCAGAATGGGGGCATCTCCCACACTGGGGGTGGGTGTGGGGGGATGTGGTCTGTCCTTACAACCAGGCATCCTGCCTCTGGTTTGGGGGTGTGGATACCAGTCCCTGATAGGCCCGCCTGTGCACTCAAACAGTACCCCTCCAAACTGGGCCGAGGTCCACAGTTTTCTCCAGCCCCTATAAGACGCCCCGGAACCCCAGGGCTGCTGTGGCTTCCCGGGGATCGGGGAGGGGGGGACTCTGGTTCTCCCAGCTGAGGCCTGTGAGCCTGCTCTTGCTGCCACGGCTGCCGTTGGCCAGGAACGCACACGTCTGTGGTGACTCAGGCTGGCGTCACCTCGGGCAGCTTGAGGCAACCCGCATCCTAGAGCCTGATGCTTGAGACCGAGGGACTGGGACTTAGGGGCAGAAGAGGACCCCCAGCCCCTGTGGCTGCAGCTCCAGGGCGTCACTGTAAACGGGTTCCCAGGCTCTTGAAGGGGCTAGGTGCACAGGTCCACACAGACGAGCACGATGGCTTCCCTACCGTCAGAGGCACAGACAGCCCAGCGTCAGTCACAAGCTGGACCCAGACACCACTCCATGTGTCTTCCAGAGCCCCAGAGAAGGGGGAGCCTGCCCCTTTACCCTACCCTGTCCCCCCAGGGCCCTTCCTGCCCCATTTCTGCTCATAACCAGGGCACTTTAGAGGCAACGTGGACCCTGGAGCCAGACTGCCCAGGTTCGAATCCTGGCCCTGTCCCTTAGGAGCTGTGTGATCTTAGACAACTGGCTTCGCCTCTCTGTTCTTCAGCTTTCTTCTCTGTTAAAGGGGTCATCAGAGTCCACTGAGCTCATGCAGTTGTTGTGAGGATTAAATGAATTAATATATGGAAAGCACTGAGAACATATGAGCACAATGTAAACATTATAAAGCTCTAAAGGGATGTAAACTATATTCATATCTAACATTTGTTATTATCGATGGCTCTGACAGACACTAGCAACCTGGGCCATAGAAGACAATTTAATGAAATGAGAAAATGTGCTGGACATGTGCTAAGTGAAAAAAAAGGAAGTACAAAAAGCCTCTTCCTACTTTTGTAAAATCTATCTGTGTTAACTGTACCCAGAAGAAAAAGCCTGGGAATAAAGAAATCAATTGTTGACTGTGTAACTGCTGGACTTGGGGGTGATGATGACTTTCACTTTTTGTGTGTCTATTCCTATATTTTCCAAAGTGTGTACAGTAAATGTGATGGTTATAAGATGAACCAAATACATTTTAAAAACCTGTTCACAAAAAAGAAAGCTATATTTTGGGGATCGGGGGGCTGTCTTTCCTTTTCCCAAAGCCGTGGCCCCACTGTAGGGTGAAGGTGTGGGGCGTGGACTGGTGGGAAGTTACAAGAACCCTGATCTCTCTGTCCCCAGATCTCCAGGGAGCAAGAGACCCCTGAGCCAGCAGGCTCAGCCCTTCCCTACTCCTGAGCTTCTGTCTCTTTTCCTGGTGGTACCTCCCATAGGGAGGGGGTGGGGTTGTTGTATGGATTCAGTGGGTGACACTGAGGCCAGCTCTTCATTAAATGAAGGGATTGTCACTGCCTGCAGCCAGGTCAACACTGACAGTCACATGTCACCTATTCTCCGCAGGAAGGTGGCACTGATTCTTCTTCCCACGTGACAGGTGATGACTCCGAGTCTCAGAGAGGCCGAGTGACTTGCCCAAGGCCACAGAGGAGCAAGGGGCAGGTTTAGGACCGAACACACATCCCCCGAGTCTGCACCAGACTCCACAAGATCTTCATCAGGCAGGGATTCCTGCGCTGACTGCTGTGTGCCAGCCGAGCCTGGTCTCCACGTCACCAGTAACTGTGACTGCGGCTGTCAGCGGAGCACGCTGGGCTTCTGCAGACGGCTTTCTGCCCCCAGGGCAAAGGCCACACCTGTCCTCTGCCATATCCCCAGCCCTGGCCCAGGGGTTCTTGAATGAATGTTGAGTGAGCTGTTGAGGGTTCGAGGCTCTTTACCTGGGAGGCAGGAGAGATTGGGAGGAGGGGCTGGGAAAGAAGCCTGTCTGCTCAGCAATTCACTTGGCCGAGCAGAGCACAGACCAGCTCCTGCGAGCCCAAGGCCTGGCGTGTTCTCTGACTGGTCGGGGTTCAGGGAGGCTTCGATGGGCTGGACTCACCAGATTCAAGCACACTCCAGGGTGTAGGCCCCCAAAGGTCCGAGCTTGACTGGTGCTCATGCTCTGTGATTGCCACTTCATGTCTCACTGACCCTTCTTCCAGGAAGCCCTCCAGTGTCTATCAGCTGTGGTTACAGTGGGAATGGGAGTGTGTGTGTGTCTCAGAACCCATCTGTTCAGGTACCTGAGATGCTTTCCACAAGAACACATTGTTGGGGGGCTGATGACTCTGACATCATTGGTTCAACTACTCCTCCATCCCCAGAGCATGAGGCTCTCTGGGACACAAGACTATAGCACTCTGAGGATACAAGCTGGGTCAGATGGAAGAGGAGTGGTCAGTTGTCTCAAAGAAGTTGGGTGTGTTAGCGAAGATCCTTTAGGAGCAACACCAAGAGCACGAGGGATAAAAGAAAAAGCAGATACAAAGGGCTTCATCAAAATTAAAAGCTTTCATGCTGCAAATGATAAAACCATGAAAAAAGTAAAAAGACAACCTACAAAATGGAAGAAAATATTTGCAAACAGTCTATCTGCTAAAGGATTTGTATCCAAAATATGCAAAGCACTCCTACAGCTTAATAAGAAAAGTACAGATTTAGAAAAGAACAAAGGACTTGAATACACAGTTCTCCCAAGAAGACATACAAATGACCAGTAAGCACATAGAAAGATTCTCAGCGTCACAAGTCACAGGGAAAATAGTGCAGCTGGTCTGGAAAATGGTCTGGCAGCTCCTCCAAAGGTGAAAGAGAGTAACCATGTGACCCAGCAATTTCTCTGCTAGGTTTATACCCAAGAGGAATGAAAACATACATGCACACAAACGTTTGAAAACAAATGTTCATGGCAGCATTGTTCACAGTGGGCAAAAATAGAAGCAACCCAAATGTCCATCAGCTGATGAATGGGTGAACCAAATGCGGTCCATCCACATGATGGAATGTTACTCAGCCACAAACAGGCCCGAGGTACTGATGCTAAAACATGAATGAACCTTCAGGACATTGTGCCCAGTGAAAGAAGCCAGTCACAAAGAGCCTGCATTGTATGAGTCCTTCTATATGGGGCGTCCAGAACAGGCAAATCTGTGAAGACAGAAAGCAGATTAGAGCTTGATGGGGGTTGGGGGAGGGGACAGTAAGGAGTGACTGCTAATATGTACAGGGCTTCTTTGGGAGTGATGAAAAGGCAAGATTACATTGCAATGATAGTTGACAACTTTATACTAAAAACCCTGAATTATACACTTTAAGTGTATGTATTATACAGTCTGTGAATTATATCTCAATAAAGTTTTTGAAAATTTTTTCTCTTTTTAGTATATTCACAGAGTCACTGCCACAATCAAGTTTAGAACCTTCTCATTACATCAGAATGAGCTCCTGTACCTGTCAGCAGTCACTTTCCACTTCTCACCAACCTTCCTGGCCCTAGATAACCACTCTTTAGTTTTGTCTCAGTGAATCTGCCTTTTCCGAGTATTTCATATCTTGTATGAATTATGTACTATGTAGTCTTTTCCTTTTAATCTATTTTTGGCTGCATCAGGTCTTATTTACAGCACCATAGATCTTTGTTGTGGTGTGCAAGTTTCTCTCTAGCGGTGTCGTGGGAGCCCAGTACTTGCAGTGTGCAGGCTTAGTTGCCACAAGACGTGGGGTCTTGGTTCTCTGAACAGGAATTGAACCCACATCCCCACATCACCTTTCCAGATGCATGGAAAGGTGGATTCTTAACCACTGGACCTCCAGGGAAGTCCCTCAATAAAGATGTTTTAAAAACACCCTTTTGCAAAAGCTGGAGAACCCAGCTCAGAGAGGTACGCACAAAAAGGGATTCGTTCGCTTCTGTACTTGAGTAAGTGGGTGAGTTCAGACAACACCGGCCTTCAGGTACCACCTGATTCGGGGACTAACTCAGGTCCTCAGCCCTTGGGTGAAAGCTCCCAGCACGTGGGCTGAGACTCGGGCAGACTCTTGAGTGCGTCTGTGTGAGCAAAGTGCTGGATTCTCAGCAGCCCTGTGTGCACTGCAGGCTCCAACTAGCACAGAGGGGCTGCGGGAGGCTACATCCACGGGAAAGCAAGGTGGGGGTAGGGAAGGGCTGGAAGAGCGGAGAAGGGGACCCCCAGACCCCAGAGCCTCTGAGTCACTCTATGGTTCTGGGCAAACACTGG